TTTTTTTTTTAATTTCTTTCTCTATATAGGCCATCCCCATAAAATGTTTCGTTTCCCATCGCCTGACCGACCCTTTTTTTTTTGGAAAAGAAAAAAAAAACAATTCCAGAATCACTTGTAAAGAAGCAAGTACTTTAATTTAAAAGCACACGATCTTGTCTTATTAACACCAATTGTCTTAAATTATCATCGATACTTCGTTTTTGTAGCCTTTTTAGACATTTGATAGTCCTGTTAATTTACATCTTTTACCATCTGATCATATCTCGCAGACTAAACGTGAGATTTAATATGCAATCATGTGTTCATTCTTTCTTTCTTTTTTTTTTTTTTTCGACCGACCGACCCACCTTCGCGAGAGGGAGGGCGATGGGAAACGAAACATTTTATGGGGATGGCCATAAATGTCGAAAAAGTCTAACAATTAAGACTACTTTAATGTCGCTCAACTGGGTAATCATGGACCAGACCATGCGGAAAATTTACACAGCCACGCAACGTCGTAATTCTTTCAACCGGTGCATTTAAACTCCAAATTTCTGCACACAAAAAGTACGCTTTAAGTGGACATATTTCTTGAGTGACAAGCGAAAAAATAAAAGCGACAGTGGAGCTAATCTTTTATAGTTAACATAAATTTTTTTGCTAAAATTTCGTTTAGCATTTGAAGGAAACATCTTATTTGAAACAAGTTTTGAATTTCGTGTGAATTATTCAGCGCTAATTGGAAGTTTATTTAGGAAAGGCGCCTCGCCTTGTGCTCGTAAATATTCCAGTACCAGGTCAAAGAAGAATGTTTAATAATCTTTTCAATATCACGTTATATAGATCGTTTTCATTGTCACGCAACAAAAAAATAAATTGGAAACCGTCCAGTGGAAGAAGCCAGAAAATGAAATATTATAAAAGACTAATACATAAACAATTTGTCCAAGTCTCAGGTCTTTGTGGCCCATAGTTTCTGAGTTATTTGCCAAAACGTTTCACGCACCTTTGTAGTCAGAGCTTTGTATGGAGACGCCATCATGGTGTACCGTTTTGGTCCACCAATATGGCCGCCGGAAATCAACAAAACATCTGGAATTCACTTTTTCTATCAAAGCTCTTTCTTTTCACTCGAGAGCTAGCGTACGTGCGCATAAACATATTTCTAATGCTTCAAATGGTTATACTGCTGAAAATCAAGAGGAGAGACTTTTTTTCAACGAGGCAGCATTCCTATTTTGGTGTCACGCACTGTGAAAACTCGGAAGTTCAAATCTCTGTATTTTCGAAATGAAACATGCTACAGGTCGGAATGGAAACCTGTATAAAAAACGTTATTTCGGGTCAAAAACGTTATTTTATACGAAGTTTTTGAGACCATATGGACCCGTGTGCGTACTGGCCAAAATAGTCACGCTACGCCCCTGACAAGGGTTGTTTTTGCATAGAAGCCTTTAGGGTGTGGAGGCTAGAAATGAGCGGTCTGCCTGCATTTGAATTGCTGAGTATACTTTCCGGCCATTGACCAAGATCACTGCAACGAAACTTCATAAAAACGGGGAACTTAATTCTACTTTAAAGCACGCGCGAAGAGAGCGCACGACTTAACAAACCAAATCAGAAACAATAGCCAGTCACGTAGCCCAGACCGGTTTTAGCTAGATGATGTCATAGTTTAATTAAAATTTAGTTGCGTCATATCCTTATCTGGATATGTCAT